GATTTCATCTAAATCTTTAAACTTTGTTCAAAATTAACATTTAAAACTTTCTAACAATGTGTGTTTCTCAACCGTGTTGATGTCAAAATCTACATCAAATAAAATATGTCATATTACTTTTATTTTATAAAAAATACCCCTTCTTCTTTTTTTTGCACAAAATTGGAGCCAAACGCAAATAACTTATTGTAATACAATTTCAAGATCAAATGAATTGAAAAAAATGTGATAAGACATGATACGATACATTTTTGATTCACGAAGAACATGACCTAAATAGAATCGTTTGAAAATCAAGAATTAAGGCAGATTAGTCAGGATTATAATTTCAAAATATCTTAGTCCGGGAATCAAGAGTGAGGACCTAACACGTTACTCCAAAATGTCATATGACTGATGTGACGAATGACAAGATTATTAGTGTTCAAGCATCTTATCTAATTCTACTAGATACCTGCTACCTCCTATCACATATACCTGTTTTCCTGTCCACCAAAATTAGAATAGACGAAAATTTGTGTTTATCTCACTTAATCAATAAGTATACTGTTTTTTCAGATTAACTTAATCTATCAAGGTCATTAATAAGCATACAAAAAGATTGCTTGTTTTCATCTAGGGCCTTCAAGTATCAAACAAAATAATCTATTGTTTATTGCACAGTACACCATCATTTGGATAATCATTTTAATATGGTTGTATATTGGTAGAGCCCATGATAGATACAAAACAATTTTAATACACATTGAAAATTACGTAGTTTTCTTGCCAACCCATTTTGAGAAAAAAAAATGGAAAAATCAAAATAAAGATAAATTGTTTAATTGAGTTTTCATATGTCAAAATAATTAAATCTGTGAAGTCATTTTCCAGCAACTCCAAGAAAAATGATGTATTATTAAGTTTCATTTAAGTATTTATTAGTAATTCTTTTAGCAATTAATTAATTAATTAATTATGTTTGATGATTTAAAAAAAAATAGATATATATATATTCCTAAGACAACAATAGGATGTAAAATGGATTAGACTTTAATCCCCTAAATCCTTTTTAAAGATATTTTAATTTTAGCTTTTTACGTATTATTTTAAATTTCATATCAAATCAAAGCCCAACACGTAAGGCAGGGGACCGGGTATGAGCGGGTTGTAAATACTTTTTATTTATTTTTAAACGGATAAAATATATAATTGTTGAATCTGCCAACTAAATACCAACCAATTTTATTTTTCTTTAATACACGTGAAGACCACTTTCTAAACTTAGCCAAACTTTTTTTTTTTTCCAATTATTAACGATCTCCCTAACTAATCCCATTTTATTATACAATTTCTTAAATTTATATATGCCTTAAAAAGCTTACAGTTTTTAGCTAGTGATTTTTTTCACTATTAACATTAGTTTAAGATAATTTTGGGTTCAAGGATTCGATTTGTTCACCCACAATAATTTTTTATTCTGATTAGAACGTATTCATGTCAAACTTTAGGATTAAAGTTTGAAGTATTTTATTCTCATTATTGTTTACAAAAAGCACAAACTGTAATCTTGACACCCTAATATATAGGATAATACAACAAGCTTATAATTAGTCAAGGAAATTGCAATGAAGCAATAATAAACTTGATTAGGTGCCTAATAAAGTTTTAATTTAATGAATAGTTGAGTAGTACTACTTTATAAAGCATAATCTAAGAATCTATTGTCAGTTCAAGACAAACCGTGTCCTTCACGCATTAAACTTGTGTCCATAATGGCAACAAAATTAGGCGAGGAGTGCAGTAAAATGAATAAAATTTGTTAGGTCTTAATTAAAGATTTTAAGTCTGATTTTTATAAATAAATCAAATTCTTGTAGGAAGTAGTTTCTTCCTTCCTAGACCTTATGTAACGCAAGTTCAAATTAATCGAATCTTTCAAATAAAACTTGAATATCAAATTAAAAATTAAAATAAAGAAAGAGGAAATGGAATATACAAATCATTTTTCCTAAGACTAATATTTGTTCAACAACTCAACTCTACTATATTTGTTGGGTCTCAGATATTCTACAAATACCTACTAAACCAACCTAATCTTACTTATTGCTATAATATTCAATTATTCGGAGAGAAACAATGATGACATTTTTATAATATATAAATAATTCCACAGTTTTTTTTTAAAATAATTATTTTTAATGATTTTTTTTGTCAATTTTCTTGAGGATAACTCCAATCGACTTCAAATTTACAAGTGTAAATTGTACTCTGCGGGGTGCATGCATTCAGTATGGAGAAAAATATTTTTCAATTTTTTTATGTTCGATTAACTTAAATGTTTTGACAATTTTTTTTTTTCAAATGGACTTTTAAGTCTCTTTTAACCTTACCATCCCATTATCTGATCCACCAAATCACCCCAGACCCCTAGCTGCTCTTTTAGGGCCGGGTCTCCGAGTTGGTTCTTAGGGTCGAGTCTCGAGGTTGGATATTGAGGTCATAATCAAGGGTGAACTAAATTCCGGAGTCTTAATATTTGAGACATATTATTTTTGTTTTTTTGAGACACTTACAATTACAACATTAATTCTTCGTTTTTTTGTTTTTATTTGATGAAGGGGACCATATGGCATGGAAATGGAATGGGAGGTGGTGAATCGAACATATTAATTCTTGAATATGAACTTAAAAATAATACTCCTTCCGTACCTTGTTAGTTATCGTGATAAAGTTTGACACAACCATTAATATTAAGAAAAAATTAATAAAAAGTGTTGTTTAATCAATATATTATCCTTTATTAATTCTTTAGTTTTTATTATATTAATTTTAGAATAATTAATGTACAGGGCAAAGTTAAAAAAGATAATTAATTTTCTCTTAATTGTTTAAATTGCCAACTATTTTAGAACAAATATTTTTATAAATAACAACTAAAAAGAGACAGATGGAGTAACAGTGAATTTTGAGTAGGATTTGAGACAAGAGAATGTTTTATTTAAAAAAAAACATTTTCATAAATAAATTATATTTCCTCTATCTTTTCTTTTAATTTGTAGGGAGGAGAGACATACAAGTGTGAGAATAGGCATTGCACAATTTTTTTGATAATTAGTACTATTTTTGTTCACTTTAAATTGTTATGGTTTTCTTTTTTAGAGTTAAATTATAAAAAATTTGACAAACATTTTATAATGTATTTTTTTAATCATATTGATATGCAAAATATTGCAATTTATAGTATTTTTCGTATAGTTTTTGAATATCTAATTTTTTTGTTTACAATATTGAATTAATGTAATCTAATTTAACTTTGAAAATTAATCAAATTAACTTTCGAAAAGCGTAACATGACAAATAAAAGCGGACGAAGGGAGTAGTATTTGATATTTGGTACTTCATCAGCTTGACTAGTCAAGACTCAAATAAAAATATGTACATAAAAAAATACTATTGAGTCGAGAAATTTTGAAATCTAATATATGTAAATAATAAAACAACGTTTTAACCTTATATATTTAACATAATATTTTGACAAAGAATATTTAAATGAACCTCTTAACACTATATCAAAAATGATTTTTGCGGTAATTAATTAATGATAATAATTTAATTACCGATAATATATATTTTTTGCAGCAATTAACATTCTTTGTAAGGTCCCTAAAATTTATAATGACATTGAATCCATTAACAATTAACTAATGTTGATTAAGACCTTAATGCTCTTATGAATATGTATATGTGATTATTGGTAAAAGTTATTTTTGATATAATAATGTTCTCTATTGAAGATTTCTTCATTTATAAAAAAAATTATTCTAATTTTATAAGTGTATAAGTTATGATAGTAGATTTAAAGTTTTTGGTGTAGCACCCCTTGGGATTATAAATGATTTATGTAACACATGCATATTTGACTAATTAAATGCAACATCGTGGTAACCACTTGGATGTTTGGACTTTCGACCCCCACCCATTTTTCTCCAACGTCTCTATTTATTTGTCAAATATTTTTTAATTTAATTTTTTTTTATTCATCATTTTTACACTATTAGTTAAAAGATATAAAATGATAAATTCACTATTTAATCATTATTTTTTTTAGTAAGTGTATCAAGTCAAAATTTAACAAATAAATAGGAATAGAGAAGGCAAAGTAGTACATAATTCCTTCAAATTCTTTTAAAATCAAAGTCAAGTAAATGGTCATACTAACATTCAATTCCCTTTAATTACTTAATCTCTATACATTAATTACATACACTATTTCTATTCAAAGTGGTAATTAAGAAGTACTCTTCAACATTTAATTTCAAGATTCTTGCAATATCTCAACTTTTTAATTAAAGAATGAAGAAGATAAATGCACAATTTTTAATTACATTACATCACTTGAGTAAAAACTAAGAAGTAGTAGTACCCTTCTATTTAATTTCAAGAATCCTACCACAATTTGCGTATATTCTATACTCTCCCGACTTCACTCTCGTAGACTCGATATGGTTCCTACATAATGATACACTATATAGAGTACATTCAAAGATCATTTTTTACCAACTATTTGGTTTGTAAATTCAAAATCCAATCTTGAAGAGTGGAGGATCTGTGAAAAGATTTCTGTTTTTCTGATCATAAGAATTTGATTTTACATGTGAGAATGTCAGGTAAATGCAAAGTCAAAAAAAGAAAAATTCCAAACAGTCTGTGAATTCTTTTTTTCTTTTTCCTCTGTTTGTTTCATTGAACAGTCTTGTTTTAAAAAAAATCAGCTTTTTCCAGAAACACTGAGTTGTTGTTACTTTACTTGAGCCTGTCATAATCTTACTTGTATGTATGTATAATCTATCTGTATTTTTTCCTTTATTTTTATACAGATTTTTAAATTATGTATATAGAGTTGGTCTTTAATCTTTATTTTAGTGATAGTGAAATGAGTCTTGAGTAGTCTACTTTTTGTCTCCTTCTCCCTCTTTCACTCTCTATCAAATTCTTTATTTTTATTTTTATTTTTTTTACTGCTACATTCCCCATTTTTGTCTCTCATTTAGAGGGTCCCCTCATCCTTTTCTTCACCTTTTTAAGAAGTTTGGGTTTCTTGTTGTGTGCAGCAAAAAATGCATCTGGTATACACATAGCTCTCAGATCAAATCAACCCACTTGAAGCAATTCTTGATGTAGTTTTGTGTCTTTCTTGGATGATTAGTTGTGGTATGTTGCTTTTTCAGCTCAAGTTTTACTTGTTTTTAAGCTTTTTGTTTTTGTGCCCAAATTCTAAAAGTACCTATTTCTGTTTGTTTGTAGTTAAAAATTGAATCGTTGTGCATAAATCAGAGAGAGGAGAAAAGGGGTTAGAAGAAAACCTAAAGTTGTGGAAGAATTAAAAGAACTTTTTTTTGGGTTAAAACATGAGGGATTTTCCTTCTTGTTTTGGGGAAACTGGGGTTCAAGTAGCTGATTTTTCATCATCAGGTGTTAATAAGGCTGCTCAGAATTTGGTAACTTGTGTTTATCAGTGTAAATTGCGTGGGAAATCTTGTTTGCTTAATGTTACTTGGAGTAAGAATTTGATGGGTCAAGGTCTTACTATTGGGATTGATGATAATACAAATCAGTGTCTCTGTAAGGTTGATATTAAGCCCTGGTTGTTTTCGAAGAGGAAAGGGTCAAAGACTTTAGAAGCATATTCTAGGAAAATTGATGTATGTTGGGATCTTTCGTCAGCGAAATTTGGATCTGGTCCTGAGCCATTGGAAGGATTCTATGTGTGTGTTGTTTCCGAAAGGCAAATGATTTTGCTCCTTGGTGATATGAAAAAAGAAGCTATCAAGAAAACAAGTGCCACCCCTGCTGCTTCTGGTGCTGTTTTTATTGCTAAGAAGGAGCATATGTTTGGTAAGAAGGTATTTAGCACTAAGGCTCAGTTTTGTGATAATGGTCGAGTCCATGATCTCGTGATTGAATGTGATACCAGTGGCACCAGTGACCCATGCCTTGTCATCCGCGTGGACAGTAAGCCAATGATGCAGGTAAAGAGGCTAAAGTGGAAGTTCCGTGGTAACCATACCATGTTGGTTGATGGCCTTGGCGTAGAAGTGTTTTGGGATGTCCATAACTGGCTTTTTAGCACATCCGTTGGAAGTGCCGTTTTCATGTTCAAGACCAACATTTCAGCAGAGAAATTATGGGCAACACAGCCCATATGCGATCCCCAAACACTACATTGGTCTTGGTCACAGAGATTCAGAGAGGCTCAGTCGCATGATCTTGGTTTCTCGCTCTTTTTATATGCTTGGAAAAACGAATAGTCAATTGATTGGATTCAACCTTGAGTTCTAACATATACTTTAGCGAGCTGTGATTTATTGACTATGAAATTCAATTATACTTTCAATTTATATACTAGTTAATTTGTTCTTTTCGTATGTTAGTTGCTCAAGCTGTGAGCCAAAACAAATATAGACATTTTTACCTGGTTGATTGTAAATTGTTCAATTATAGTTCCTTTCATTTTCTTTTCCAATTTCCAAGGAGAAGAATATGGAATCCATTTATTCTTGGTCAAAGGCTTCCTCTTGTCGACGTCTTTGTATGGCTGTGATTGATCTAAGAAATATTAACAAGCAATTGGTATCTGCCTTGTTTCAATAATCTCTTCACTTGGTCTATTTCTTGATGCAGGCGGAATATACCTTATCCCGGTCCGATATATATGGTTATCGCTTGCATACTGATGATATACACATATGTTGTTTTGACATGTCAACTTTGATATGACCAATTCCTTGCAGGTGGTTCAATTGCTAATGAAAGTTGATGGACTGAGACCCTGTAGGAATGGTCTCAACATATGCTATTTGCAGCAGACAATGTGGTATAAATGCATCATATGAGCAAATAGCTTCTTTGACCCTCGATGCAATATAAGGATATTGGTATGTGTTGTATCTTGTTAGTTTTTGTGTATTTGAAGTGTAAATGGATTGTGACTGTTGACTTTGATGCATTGAGATTAAGGGAGTTGGTTGGACTGAATACGGGCTAGCGTCTTACCTGATGTTAAATCCATATTTCTTCATTCCATAGTGAAAAAAGCTTAACATACCCCACTTCTCTTGGACACTGTATATGTTCACTTATCCATGGGAAGCACTAAAAATCTTCAACAGATGTAATTTGCCCCTTCAGCTGTTACACAAGCATTCCCAACTAGATTATGTATTATTTTTTTTTAAAAATAAATTGTTTTTTCCGTTTATCCCAGACTTTCGTTTCACCTATGTGTAGCTGAAGCCATAGGTTGTTTTTTCCCCCAGAAATCCCATTTTGTTCTTAAATGGTGTGGTTCTCCATTTCTCGACCTTTCAGTTTTATCATAACCTTCTCGAGGCATGGCAGTGTGGGATTGCTGCAACTGCGTTTCTCCGAGAAATTAATATTTTGCTTTCTAATTCTGATGTTGGTAGACAGTAGTTAATGTTTTTTTTATTATAGGTGACTTACATATTTCTTGATTGCTTACATGATAGGAGTTGTCGGAAACATTTTATGCGAATTGTGAAGAGATATACAGAGTAATTAGTAGCTATATTTCGTAATATACTTCATGCATCAGTTGTTATCTCATCGAAAATCCCATTCAACTTCTAAAAAATTCTTTCTTTCATATGGTTCTTTTTTTTTTCCTTGGATTGATTTTTTTGATGATGATGTGTCCAGTCAACTTTCATTCACCTTAATTGATCAGTCGCTCTTGTCCCTTACTTACGTACCAGGCTTAGTTCGCATAGCTCAGAGCTTGAACCTGTGGTCACAAGTCTGTCAACCTTTGCCACTTGAACTAAGCCTTGGGGCTTGATATTGACCCTTGTTATTTTGAGGTTACATCTAGTAGTTAGAGTTTGCCTTGATTTGGTACCACTCAGTTCACTATAACCCACAAGCAAGGTGCTGGGTGAACCTGCCCACTAAGGTTGGAGCACATAGCTCACACGCTAGGTGTTGTAACTAGGACAGGGACTGGGATCTCCAAGTTGGTACTCGGTCTCCACCACACCGTATAATCATTCCCTCAGAGACTCCACAATGTCCTTTTTTGTTTCTATGTTTTTTGCTTATTAGACCTTTAGTCCTTCTGATGTAACCCAATTCACTCTGTGATAGACAGCTGAAGCGCAAACATCCAACATTGTTTCTTGCCTTTGGATTTTTAGATCAGGCCTCCAATATGCTGATGCAGCAAATATTGCAATTATGATATTTCCTTTAGTGTTTTTACAAGTCTTAGAATTTGATCTAATCCACTATCATCAACGTCAATGTGAGATCACTCTCCATCTCTCAAGAGGATTTATCCAGGGTATTTCTGTAATGACTTTGCATGGTCAAGAGAGAAGCTGTGAAGGGTTGAGTTAAGTTGTTGACCAGCCCTTTCACAAACATGGATCTATTTAACTCATAATGAGCTTGTTTAATGACCCCATAAGCTAATCTGTTGCTTTATTGGCCCTTCAGGCTACAAAGACAGCAGTTTCCAATCTTAAGACCCAATTTGCAAATTCTAGCATCTAGCCTGTTTTATATTGTTTATACTAGGCAGGCAGTATCGAACATGTGTTTTTTTTTTATGAGTCAGTACCGCAATAAACCACTGTTGATCAAGAGAGTGTAGGGAGTAAAATTGTAGGACTGCAGAAATTATTTTAACATATAGGCCTTGAAGCTTCTTATTCTATCTCCTACCTGGAGCCCAGGAATGTTAAAACTGAAATTTCCATCTTTCTTGCTTGCATCAGTTGAGCTGAGGAGGGTCTATTGGAAACAACCTCCCTATCTTCACAAGGTAGGGGTACACAAATTGCATTGGGTACGTTGTCGTTGTTTGCTTACATCATTCATGTTTTAGATTCTTCTTGGGATTTGGATATAATGTGCCCATAAAGCATGCCCTTCATTGTGTGCTACTGGGATTTGCTTATGTTTTGGATTCTTCTTGGGTGAACTTGGCTCTCGGGATTTGTCTATATGACTCTCATGTTATTAACTGATTCTGTAAAAGTGTTAATGAATTCTGCAATTCACCATCTCACTACTTGTTTATTATCGACTTTATGATTTGAATTGTCGATAGTGATGCATGCTTTGATAATCACATATTTCTTGTAACAAAAATGAAGTATGTTTTATCTAATATCATTCCATTAAAATTCATAGGCAACAACAAGAAAAGTAAAAAATAAAGAGCAACATTATAGAACCACCGGAACAAGTGCAAGAAAATCGCAAGGATCAAGAGCACAATCAACCATAACATCAACAAAACCCGAAGCTAACTCACCGAAAACAATGCAGTTCCCATTGAACAACCTCTTACCCACCTTCTTCGCAAGACTATCATAAGCTTTCTTCGCATCATCGTTGTAATTCGGAACCTTCAGATGAACCCTAGCTTTATCCATATCACAACAATCCACTGTAGAAACTTCTTGGTCATTAATGGTGGTTCCTTTCCCCTTAACCCCAACCCATCTCAATTTCAGAATCGGCTGATCAATGCACCCAATAATTGGCTTTCCATGATAAATCAACCCAATGAGAATGCCGAAAGCACAATTATCTTTACCCACAAAACACGAAGTCCCATCAATTGGGTCCAAAACCCATATAAATTGATCAGGAAGAAGCGCATAATCACGATTGTGCCAACCAGTCTCTTCCCCATGAATCGAATGAGAAGGAAATTCTTCAAGAATGACGGAAACTATGGCTTGCTCCGCTTCTGTCGGCACAGGTGACTGGTCCGTCGCCGTCCTTTTCCCTGAACTGGAATCTTGCGGCGTTGGAGTAGTATTTAGGTACTACTTCGGCAGCAGCATCAGCAGCTTTGTTGACAATTTGGGTAAAACGATTAAGCTCCATGTCGCTCAATGGTGTGCTAGAGATTGTAGCCATTGTGCTGATGATTTTTGCTTCAATGGCGATCAACAAACAAAACTACTGTAAAAACTAACGCGATGAAAAACAAGAACGGCAGAATATTTATTTTCTTTATAACAAACTCGTTAAAATAAATTTTGAGTCCAAAGTAATTTTCCTTATTTATAACTCATTTAAATATATTTTTTTAATCCTAGAAATCTGTTGTTGCTATTCTTTGGGTGTACACGGCATAAATACACTTTTATGTAATAGTTCCGTTCGCGACTAGAAAATTACGTTAGTATACCACTTAAGATAACATAATCTCTACCATTTGAGTTAATCATAAAAATCTCCTTTTTCCTTCTCCCTCTTAACGTCCAGATACATCACCCCATCTCTATCTGATACATTACAACTTTGTTTGTATACAATGTATTTGATACAAATGTTATTGTTGATACATAACTCAAATTATCTCAAACCTAGATCAATATGAATCTGATTTATAGTTATGTATCTGATACATAACTCATCTATCGTTCGCTATGTATTGGGCGAAGAAGCAATGTGCGAGTTCTAAGAAACTCACGATTATTGTTATTTGGAAATTTTTTGGGATAGGATGTAATTAATATCCAAATTGTTGGTTTTTTTTTTTTATATACTTTATAAGTATATATCCAAAAAATGTGTTCAATTTTGAAAGATTTTCGAAAACACATTTTTTGAGCCCGCGAAGCTTTCTCTCATTGCTTAAAGGCTTTTTTAAGGCCCAACAACAGAAAATCAGTCTATCGGCCTAGTTATTGTGCACCCTCTATAGGCTCTAAAGAGTAAAGAGTGACAAAATTGATAAAATAGTTACTTTTACTAAATGTACTTATTTCACTTATGGTACTAATTTTAGGAGTACTTATGTATACTTTCGAGTTTCGATTTTAAAACTTAATCATTATTTCACTTATGACATCTAACTATTTTAAACTTCAGAAAATACTCAAACACTATAAAGACTTAAACTCCTTAAATTATTCATGAATCAGTTTTAAATTACTTAAGAAACTTTTCAAATTGATGTCGATTGAAATAATAGCTAAACGCCCACCAAATTATTTTTACTCTAAAGTGTTTTTCTTTTTCTTTGCATTATCAAACTATTGAATATTTGTAACCTAGGAATCATCCATTAACAAATAATAATCATTTAACAACAACCACGTTATCATAAGAACAATTCAGCATAAAATTAAATGAAACGTTTGAAAGGGACTTGTCTTGTGAATTGTTATTATAAACAGTAACAATAATTAATTTTCCGGTAACATTAATTATTTCCCTCCCATTTTGCTTTCTTACGACATGTGCCATTCCTAAAAGAAAAGTTGTAGTACATTGATTTTTACATGACCAAAAACAACCAATTATGTCTTGGACCTGTGTGTGTGTATATATTGAAGTCACTTTCATAATAATTGTCCTTAGGCTGGAAATGATAGTACATGAAATTAAAGGGTGATGGGGAAATTTATCCTCTAGCTGGACAACTAGGCCACTCATAAATATATTTGCTATTTCTACTTTACCTTTTCCTAAGTTACAATATCGTCGAAACTCACTTATGATTCCACACATTCATTTTGGATAACTTACATATGGATCACATATATACCATCAATACAAATTAATTTATATATATATTTTATTTCTTTTACACTTTTACTCACGTGAAAAACAATTTTTTTTTTATGTGTATATATATATATATATATATATATAACCATTGAATCCTTCTGATCATATAATTTATTTTAATATAATTATTGAAGTGTGTAAAGAAATTGATTTAGGTCATGCTTATAAATATATATATATATCCTCTGTCCACTTTTAACTGTCATGATTTCTCTTTTTTAGGGTCAAATTATAAGAACTTTGACTGATATGTTATGATGTATTTTTTTTATCATATTGATATGTAAAAAATTGCAATTTATAGTACTTTCGTATAGTTTTTGAATATCTATTTAATTTTTTGTTAAAATATCGAATTAAAGTAATCTAATTTAACTTTGAAAATTAGTTAAATTGACTTCCAAAAACACAAAATGACAATTAAAAATGGACGGAAGAAGTATTGATATAGTGTGTTTGGTAAGTCATTTTTTTTCCTTAAGAAATAAGCAAAATGACTTTGTTAAGAATTTTTTTCTTACAAGTAACATTATAAAGTCACTGGGTCTGTCCCATCCTCGAATCCACATGACTCCTCACTCCACCCACCCGTAGTGTTTTTCTACATTTTATAAAATAAATATTTATGGGTCAATATTTTTCATCTTACTAACCAAATACTATAAAATATTGTAAGAACATTACTTATTTTTTTAAAAATATTTGTCTTTCTACCAAATTAAGTTAATCAGACACTTAGATTGTTGTGTTTGATAATTGTAATTAAGTTACGTGTGTTGTGTTATAGTACTAGGTCGCGTATTAGAATAGAAAATTAGTATGTAATTGCTTGAGGGTTGTTTTGCTTATCGAGGGTGTAGACTTGTTAGTCTTTGTCGTTGTTGTTGTTGCTTATATTATCTATATATAATTGTTTGTTGTTTAATGTGTATCGACTATCTTTTTTGTAGGTTTCGCTACGTTTTCTATAGTACTGCTTTCTTCTTCTTTGTACTTAAATTTGCTGCTCTTAAACTAAAGATCTTTCAGAGTATAAAATTTGTGTACACCCATCTTTTTCAAACTCTATTTGTAAAATTGCAGTAGAGATATTATTGTTATTGTGTTGTGTTGGTACAATATCTTGTGCATGTGCAAGCCACACAAATTAAAGAGTAGTAGTAGTATTGCATGGACGATAAAAATAATTCATATATAGTCATCAATTGCGGACCTACTGATCATCGATCTCTATCACCTCATGCAGGTGTCAAGCTAGTATAGCCTGTCAGCGTGGCCATACAGCAACAATTCACTCTGTCTCCGTTGTGAACCAAACTGACTACATAAAAGTTTATTGATTAAAAGGAATGAATAAGACCGATCCATCTTCATACATTATACAGAAGCGAATTTAAAATTCAAATATTTTATAGTAGCTCCTCTCTCTTCTTCTAACATAAGATGGCCTAGCTGAGATGGATTTGATTTTCCAACAACTCTTCAAACATGATAATACACGAACTTATTTGGCTAAATTATCTTTGTCTTGTAGGTATCCCTCATCTACATAATAACTCCATCTGAAATTTTACATGATATCGTTATCTAAAAATTTGACAATTACACTCCCACAATACTTGTTGGACATTTCAAAATAATATAATGGAGAACTATTATTGGACTGAGAAAATATGTAATGAACGAATTTACCCGTATGAAATGATACAATGAATGCTAAAGTTCCAAAATCATAGCATAGTAATAAGGACCACAATTAATTGACTTCTAACTTGTAGCGATTGGAAGGCTTAACGGCTATCGAAGGAAGTGAAATTACCTTCACGTCCTAACCGGACAATTTACGAGAATGACCTTACAAATAATAATTTTTTTTATCCCTCTTATTATATGCACTTGAAACCATCATTTAAACCATAAAACCTAAAAATTTACGAAGTCAATCAAGTTCTAACTAATTTCATTTATGTAATATCTAAAGTTTTATGTAGCTGAAGTTCAAATATTACTACCTCAACTTTTCAATCATACGTTTTTGAATTCAGTTATCTTTGAATAATTTCTCAACTCAATCATATGAAAATTCAGACACTACATGTATATTTTTTCTTTTTTGGAAATGTGTAGATGTTCAAAAATTTAACATATTAAATAATTGTGTCCAAATGAGATATCCCATGAACCTTTTACATAGCTCCTTTCCCCATTTTTTTGGGGTTGTTTGATATACGAGATCATGATTAAATATAAAATTGAAATTATACTATATGTACAACCAACCAAACAGAAAGTATACATTTGATGAATATTCCACCTTATCACATCAAACTTGCTATTTTTCATCCCACCTCCTCCTAATTAGTAGAATAAATTAATTTTGAAATTATAATTTCAAAATAACTTTGTACGCGAACGAACAGTATGGACTTGGTGCTCTGTATCCACAAAGGAAAAGAAAGAGAAAAAAGAGGGTAGGGATTTTAACATAACAGCTAAAAGATATAAGAGAGGGCGCCAGAAGTAGTTATAAACTAGGTGTCTCTCACAAAAAGTCAAAACTTTTCATTTTCAGTAAATAAATTGTTTGCTAGAAATAGCGGTCACAATTTTGCAACATGGCACTATGAACGTTATCTTACTAGTATCTATTATTTCTGGTTCTTACTCTCTTCCCTGTCACATTTACAAAGCTAACTTATTCTCCACACTTTCTGCTAAATTTTGTAAAATGTATTCTCTTTGAGTCTAAGCTCATCACATTTCAGGTACTTGTTAACTCTTAATTTACTACCATTTTGATTGAATTGCATACTAATAATATTTGGGTTCTTTTTAATCTTTATTCAACACCCTTTTGACTTAATTGCCCACTTTTTTTGTTTATTTGCTTTAAGGTGAAGAATTATGTTGTTTTGACATGATAGGTATACTTGAATTACATCAGTTAGGGCAGTTTTCTTTTTTTTTTTTGGAGGGTGGGGGGTCCATGATCAATATTTTTGCAGTTGAAGGAAAAACGCATTTGCATGTTCTATGTGTTGCATGAAATTCTGTTGATGAGTGTTAGAGTGGGTCAAAGTCCCATATTGGTTGGGGAATGGACTGATGGTCTGTATATATGGATTTGGACAACCATTCCCTCGTGAGCTACCTTTTAGGGTTGAGTTAGGTCCAGATGTCATATCTTTACATGGTATCGGAGCCAGGTCCATCCCCGTTTGGGCCTGAGGTGAAGAAGGTGTAAGAGTGGTCCAAAGTCCCACATTGATTGGGGAATGAATTGGTGGTCTGCTTATATGGACTTTGACAATCCTCTCCTCAACTAGCTTTTGGGGTTG